TCAAAGGGCCATTCCGCCTTAACTATTACCCTCTGGCCAGCTAGACCGGGAGGGAGATATGCGGTGCATCAATATTCCTAAAAAAAGACATGGTGGGCACCATTTACCAGTTATCGACACTGGTCGATAATCAGATCACCGTGAGTGCTGAACAAGTTTATCAGACAGGAGCGTGATTGGGATGGCTCTTGCAGAGTTGAAACGCCAAGGAGCATATGCAGGCTGGCCTGTAGATCCCCTCATTGCGGCCGGTACCCACCGACCGTTCGATCGTCTAAGGCCTTCCTTGAGCAGAACTATTTGACTACCTGGAAATCTGAGATGCACCGAGTTGCCAACGCCCTATCATGTGGTGGATGCGAATGGTCGAAAGCAATGCAGGGGCGATCGCCTTCGTGTGGTCCTGGATCGACTTCGACCATAACGGAGTTTGGCCAAAATTGCATATTTAACCGATTGGGTATTCTAGAAATGCCCCTTCCGGCATCGCGTGGGTCGATATCGGTACGCAAAACACTTTCTCGATCGCCATCCATTCAGTGACTACCCGAAAGCCATCGCCGATTTTAGCGCAGTATCCACCTATATGTGTGTATGAAGTGTCAGCTGGGTCTCAGTATCGAATGGTCGGTCACTCTAGCGCGGCCGAGCCTGCAGCGATGGCCCCCTGTACTTGTTGGGAACCAGAAAAACAGCCAGTCTACATATGCTCATGATGACTGAGCCCGAACAGAGACCTCCCAACCATGCTCTTGTCTAATAAACCTGTTCGGATGCTACACTGTCCGTTAATCCCCCACGATGATCTGATTGTCGACCAACGTCGATAAGTGATGTAGAGGGCCCCGTCTTGTTTTATTTTTCACGGATAGATGCGCCGACAATCTCCCTCGCTTCGACACCTGAAAAAAAGCATGCGTAACGTTTTCCGGTACATGGCTAGAAGGGGATTGCAAGGCGGAATGGGTGCTTGAAATTGCATGATGATAGCATTTGATGAGTTTTTTAACGGTCTATATTTGGTTATGCTAAACAACGTTTTTAGCCAGCACAAAATACGTAACATCTTGCGGGCCATTTGGATGCGACACCCTGACTCGCGGGACCCGGGCCCAATGGGAACCAAAATTGGTTCCCATTGGGACCGGTAGGTCCCGCGAGGCAGGGTTTCGCATCCAAATGGATCTCGAGTGTGGATTGGATGTGGATGCCCATATCCACTGATCACATCCGGACCAACAGAGGTGTTGGTTACGATGTAATCTCGGCATACCGCCGATTCTACCCAATTCGAAAGCCGGATTTTTGTGGCTCCAACTGGATCCGTACTGGATCCAGCCCACCTCGATATCCTCAAAATGACCATTCGTGTATAGCAAGACTTGGAAACGAAGAGAATTATGAGGGACCTGGCGCGATGGAAACGAAGAGAATTATGAGGGACCTGGCGCGATGGTTTCATACAACCGCTCAAAGATTCTGCTGATGTGGAGGTGAATGGTCGAATGCAATGTGGGGCTGATCGTGATTGAGGGACATTGAGAACGACGTCGGCCATGGCCCTATTTTTGCGAAAATAGTACGTCTATTCAGTAAGAGAATTGTCACTTCGCACATGGGCCATCAAATAATTTCCTTTTTGCCATCGAGCCCTTCGATGATGTGAAAAATATCCACCGCCCCCCCCCCCCAACCCCTTCGTGACATGGACGAACGAAGCAACGCTCCTGGTCGCCGAAGCCCACGTACTGCATCTCGACCCCAGCAGTTCGAAAGACAAGCTCACCCGCCTGCATACGCTGAGCAGCCAACAACGACCGTCTGCATTGAAAGCCACAGTGCTTGACACAGAGTCTCTACAACTGAGCCCACCCACGGCTGAAACGTACTTCGAGCAGGAGGGGCAGGACAAGTCTTTAAACAAGAGAGACCAAATCCAAGTTGCGATTGTGAAAGGCAAAAATTAGTCGAGAGGTGATTGCGATCCTGCCCCTTGCAGGTGAAAGGCGCCCATCATACCAGTGCGTCATCAGACCACTGCAAGTCCGCCAATCCTAGCGCTGCAGTTAAGGGTGCCACTTGCAAAATGATTACAGTGGTCTACTTGAGAAGCAGATGGTGAACTTCATGCTTCATTTTGAGGGGAAATTGAGCCACCATCAGCGGTGGTGGGGCTCTGGAGATCGACCAGGGGTCCAGCTGAGGCCACTCTGGCCACTCTCTCACTCCAATTCACCTTTTTGACAAGCGTATTGGTCTACGATTGTGAACATCAGGTCCAAATGGACCTCGAATTGTGGATATCCTAATGATCCACAATTCGAGATCCGAGATCCATTTGGATGCGAAACCCTGCCTCGCGGGACCCATCGGTCCCAATGGGAACCAAAGTTGGTTCCCATTGGGCCCGGTGTCCCGCGAGTCAGGGTGTCGCATCCAAATGGCCCGCAAGATGTAACGTATTTTATGCTGGTTGAGAGTGTTAGTAAACATACCTAAATAGAAAACGTCAAAAGACTCATCACATGGTACACATCACAATTTCAAGCGGCCACTTCAACACGCCATCCCTTTCCAGCCAGGTGGAGAGTGAGCGGTAGGGTGTTTCCAGGTGTCCTCGTTGGTGCTGAACCGATGGTGTGGCACCCAAACGAGTTTATCAGTCAGTAGCAGTGGTTGGGGTGTTTGTGGAAGGGCTAAGTGATCATGAGCATGTGCAGACTGGCCCTTGTATATGGTGCCCATATTGCGACAACGGCTGGCTATCGTAGTAGGCTCGCTCGCCAGAGTGTGATCGTCCCCCTCGATACTGAGACCTAATTGATTTTTTTTCTCTTGGATCCATATGATCCACAATTCCATATGATCCACAATCCATATATAGATGGAATACCTCGCTAGAAATCGATTATGGTCAGTCACTGAATTGATACTGATTGAGCTATGCGTACTTATACCTACGGACGCGATGCCAGAAGAGGACTTTCTAGAACAACAATCGGTGTAGTATGCATTTTTGGCCAAACTCCGTTTTAGCCGGAGCCGATTCACGACCACACGAAGGCGTACGGCCCACCAATGCTCTCGGCCATTCGCACCCATCAGATAGGGTATTGACGTTGCGAAGAACTCGTGCACCGCAGATCTCCAGGTCTAACATGCTGGTCAAGGGAAACCTTAGACGATCGAACTGTCGGTAGGTAGCGGCAGCAATGAGGGGACCTGTAGGCCAGCCTGCTCCTTGGTGCTCGGACTGGACGAGAGCTATCTCGAGCTCTTGCCTGATACCGTTCGGTGCTACATCATCTGCTCCCCACCCACGATGATCTGGTTGTCGACCAACGTCGATAACTGATATAGGGGGCGACCCCCGCCTGTTTTCTTTTTTTCGAACAGCGGTGCACCGACTATCTCCCTCGTTTGGACACCTGAAAAAAAGCATGTGTGATGTTTTCAGCTCTATCTGGCTAGAAAGGGATAGCAAGTCGGATTGGCTGTTTGAAATTGCATGAAGTGTAGCATCTGATAAGTTTTTTTTTTAACGTTCTAGATTTAGTTATGCTAACCAGCATTCCTAGCCATGATCAAATACGTAACACCGTGCGGGCCATTTGGATGCGACACCCTGACTCGCGGGACACCGGGCCCAATGGGAACCAAATTTGGTTCCCATTGGGATTTGGTTCCCATTGGGACCGATGGGTCCCGGGAGGCAGGGTTTCGCATCCAAATGGATCTCGGATGTGGATTATCAAGGATATCCGGATATCCACAGTCGTAGAGAGCAAACATTCGAAACCCAGCACACCGCTGATTCCACCGGCTTTGACAAAAATTCGGATTTTTTTGGTGGTCCCAGCGGGATCCGTGATGAGTCCCCATCTTACCTGGATATCCTCAATACGACTTCAGTTATAAAGCCTTTGAAAAGGAGGGAGTCACAAGGCACATATAGTGCGATGGTTTCATACAATCGCTTAAAACAATAGCTGGTGTGGAGACGAATGGCCCAATGGAATGTGGGGCTGGTCGTAGTGGCACGTCCGTGGGATCGATTCCCCGCACAGCTGCACTTTTGCAGAAGAATCACGAAGCACGTAGGTTCAACTTGCCGCCCAAAAGCTTACCTCATGCGGCGACAAATAGCCGACCGCCATGTAGGGACGGCAGCACATGTGCGGTCGTGGGATCGAGTTCAGCGGCGACTGGCTTTTGTTCAGTATTTCGCCGATTCAGCTCGAAATTTCATCCAGGAATATAGCCATCCTAACAGTTTCCTTCTTACCAAGCCAGTCGATTCGGATGCAAAAACTGCCATCTCGGTCGATATTGACTGCATGACAAAAATGACTAAACCTTTTCACACTGCGGAATGGCGCCGTATGTGCAAACGGCATTTCAGCCAAAAATAAATCCGCGGGAACCCTTGCGCTCCTCAGACGAGGGGTCCAGCGACTCAAGGCAGCCAATCTGCCATTGCTTCGCACCGCCCTGGTCATTCGCGGTGCTTTCTCGCACCGTCCTCGGGCTCATACTGTACATCTGACCCAATTTTAAGCTATCCCTTCGACGGCGGCTCGACTGGATGTGTTGGCACAACCAGTGAACTCAAAGGTGTGCATAACACCTGCACCAACCTGGCCCTAGTTTCTCCAACTGAGTCACTCAGAGCTGAGACGTACTCTGAGCTGGTGAGCTGCGGTAAATCTTTAGATAAGAGAACCCAGACTCACCAGATTTATGAGAGACTGTTAATAAGCAAAATTAGGCGCTAGGCGGATGCGATACCATACCTTCGCAGACGAGGGCCACCCATCATTCCACTGCTCCACTAGTGCACCTCTGTCCATCTGTTTCTAGCGCTGCTGTTATAGGCGCATTGGAGTTCTCCGTTTGGAACTCAGGCTTGGGAACGCTATTTTCTACAGCAGTCCCATGCTTTCTTGATAGGAGGACAGAATTTCCTCAAGAAATTGTCACGTTACAAAACTGCAAAGGTCGAGATCGGACGGGATTCGAACCCGGGTTTGCACAGTGTGAGCGTCCACTGACACCACTACACCACGAATGCATCGATGGAAACCTCGCGAATAGGCGCCACGGATGTTTAAGATTACTGGAGCTACTACGAAACGCAGCCGTACCGGTCTATTCCATGAAGTCGCAGGTTCTTGAAAGCCAGATTCTGACCTCCTCGAAAAGACTGCCTGACTACAAATTTGCAAACGTTTCGGATCAGACGAGACTCGAACCGCGGCTGTGTACCTGCTGGTCCGAGAATATAACCGCCGCGCCATTGCGGCTCATGTTTGAGACATTGCATAGGTTGAATAGGTTATCTATACTCACTGCTGTCTATGAAAAGAGTAGGTGTTCTGTAAGTGTGGCTAGACCTAGAGGAGAGCAATTCCAACAGTTTTGTGTTCAATCCGAGACTACAACCTATTCGAACTGCTTTGTGAGCGTTTATGAAGGAGTTTCCATTCTTACTTTGTTGAGTTATCCCAGAATTTATCAACTTTCCATGGTTTTCGCAAATCTTTTCTTGGGTGGGCTTCTTAGTTCACTGTTAAAGCGAATAAATAGCCTATGATGATTGCAAAAACTTAGGTTTCGTCCGGGTTTGATCCCGCCACCTCCACAGTGTCACTGTGAAACGGTGGCACTACGCCATTGGTGGAACAGAATTGTTTCTATCATAATATTTCTTTTGCGATATTGTGATGTTCAGAGTCGGATTGGAGCTGTCATTATTGTCAGATACTCTGCAAAAATATGAAAGCAAGAGTTTTAAGACCATATTTATTAAAGGTAACAATGGCAATAGTTCCCCTCTCCTTCAGAAAACGAGAAAGTCGTAGGTGCAGACGCCACACTCAATTTGACGACAGCCGCGAGAAGGTGGCGTTTTCAACTGCCAATTTCCAGCTTCCGTCGTCAATTGTAGTGTGATATCTGCACTGAAGACTTTCTCGTTATTTGAAGGAGAGGGTGAATCAGTCTGACTCAAATAATAAAATATGTATAGATTCACATCACAAAGACGCAACTGCTCAAACACCTCACAAAAAAAGAAGAAGAGAGGATTAAACAAGGATGATCACACCGTCTTATGATACGGTAAACTGATATGATAAGTGGATCATAGTGAGCAAAATGTCGCGTGTTGCCTGAACAAATCCGGCTTATCCTCTTAGAAATATTTGTACTTCGTTGTGGCCCTGAGCCTCGATGACTCTCTTTCAGATATTCCTCATTCTCTTCTTATCATGACTGACACTGATTCATCTAAAGAGCGGACTGTAGCGATAGTAAGCTCATAACAACGTAGCTGTTGACTTTTGAAGCGATGGTGAGTTACCTTCTCGATCTTCGCCTGAAAAAAGCTTTTCTAATACATATAAGTAATTTTTAAAACTGACAAATGTTCCAGAAAGACCTTGTTTTTGCCCTGTGCTTATACCAAGTTCGATGGGTAACCGAAGCAGGAGTTCCTGGTTAGCCTTCAATTATCCATTAACATCCTTTTGTGAAGTGGAGCGCTTCTCACTCTTGCAGATGCTTCGAAAACTGAGCAAATCCCATTGGAAGCGCAGGCGTTGAGCGGTTTGCCGCTGGTTGAATACCTTCAAAAGAACCAGGATCTCTTCGAGGTAACCCACGGTAGCTTTCCGTGACAGTAAACCGCGCAGAGAACGCCCGTTTGCAGGTCCAAGCGACACCTGTGCCCAACTTCGAGCAGAGATTGATGAATCTGAAATACAAAGATCAAAGTAACAGGCCTGTTCAAGAAGATGTGGAGGACATCGACGATGACATACCTGAGAGGTTGGTTTACAGCCTTTTACGCCAGCATGAGTGCTCCTCTGAACCCATGGAGTATAGAACCTAAAACATGAACTCGACAGCACTTAGAGAAATGAAAATTGATGCGCTATCGCAAGAGAAGGGGCATTGTGGTGGCAGTGCATTCAAAACCGTATAAAACGCCTCCTTTTCGTTGAAAACGGTATTGAGCCATGGGCAGGAGAAAGAAAACTTCCGGGTACGTGAGCAATTTCTTTTTCCTCAAAGTTCCTGGTCCCTCCTAGGGTAGTCTAGTGGTTGCCCCGTATCTTGCAATAGCGCTCAAAACATGAACGACAGCATGAACTCAACAGTGCTCAATGAACAGGAACTGACTAAGGGGGTTGACAACAATTCAGAATTGTAGTGGCCTTTTTACCCATTTTTTGCATGGATTAAAATCGATGGGGTATCAAGCAAATAGCAAATTGTTACGGAGGGCGATTTTCCCTCAGAATCGCAGGGTCCCACATTGCATCACAATGGTGCAGCAGTTGAGGATGGGGAAGACCGGGTACCATCCAGGTGTACTGCTCGTCTAGA